TTACCCATTGATATAGGGTTTATGACTATAGTTAGGGTTTAGTGTTAAAATATTTTTTTTTAAAGCATTATTTTCGTTTTATTAATTTTTATTTATTTATTTATTTTGTATTTTTATTTTAAAAGCATAATATAACTTAATAAGATTTTGTTTCGTTTTTAAAAAGATATCAAATATGAATTTCGTTTTTAAAAAGATATCAAATATGAAATAATGCAATCCTATTGGATGGTGAACCCAAGAAAAAATATTTTATAATTAGGGTGATTTTATTTTATCACATTAACTCTAAAGATTAACGTCAAAGATAATCACGTGTATATAAATACGAAACATTGGATACATCTCCTCATCACAGTTTTATTCCCAGATCAAACTTTCAAAAACCATTCTCCCAAACAAAAAATAGTGTGTTACAGTTTAGGAAAATTAATTGGTGAATAGGTAATGTACTATACTAATTTTAAATAAAAAATTGTGGGAGCTAATATCCTCTTAATATTTTTCTGACATTGTTTTGTTACCATGATAAGGCCGATTTAAAAAACCCTAGCCGCCAAGAGAGAAAAAAAAAGAGAGATTTTTTAGTTTCAAGTCGATGGCCGGAGGCTTCTATAGCTCCGACATCGGCTTGTTTAATTCTTCTTATTTCTATTTCTTTGATTTGTTTTCTTTATGGTCTTTTAGTTTGTTTGATTGCCAATTTATTTTGAATCTGGCAAAATTTTGGATTGTTTTTTTGTATGGTTTTTTCAGTGGATTTGGAATGGAAAAAACTTCGGTTCAATTGAATCGTTTAGAAAATGTAATTGACAGATCTACTGCGGATGTGGCGACGGGTCTTACCGGCTTCAATCGTTGATGGTTCTTCACTTGATGGTGATGGACTTTTTGCTGCAAACTATGGTTACTTCGAAAGACAGCATGAAATTCTATGGAACAGTAATCTCTTTGGCTCTGTTATTATCAATAGAGCAATATAAAGAGTTGTCTTCTCTCGTTGTCTCCTACTGGAGTAATAAAAAGAGAGTAACAATCGTTCTCAACTAAGTCTGAAGCGTGGTGTTTCTGGATTAATATGAAGATTATCTCCTATGAGATTCAACTATTTCAGAAGCAAATATGGAGCTTTCACATGGAAATTTTTAGTCATCCATACGCTAATAGATGTGTTAGTTTACTTTGGATCCCTACTGGTGTATCCATTTGCTATATTGTTTTTGTCAATTCTCATTGTGTAAAACTATTTGCCTAAATGGCTTAATAATATAATCCAACGTTAAAAAAAAGGTCGATTGAAGAACATGACTAACAATAATGGATTTTTGATTATTATTTTTGAACTCAATGATGTTCTAGAAATTGATGTTTTTAGAAAGAGGTATAAAATTTTGTGTTCAGAATTTGGCAAATGAGTTTGTTTAGTTTTGTTAGCTGATTCTTTGTTATTTTTCTACATATGATTGCAAACTAAAAGTTTAGAAGAACTTTTCCCTTCAGTTGTGCTTTTATTAGTTTTGCTTTGGGTTGTTTCTTTTATATTTTATTATTCTATTGCCTATGTTTGAATTTATCTTGAATTCATAAATTTTTTAGTCTTTGCTTATTCATAAAAAATTATTTGAATATAAAATACTTTGATTACACTTAACCAATTACATTATAAAAAACATCCATTATATAAATATGCATACTTTCGTTAAATATTTCAATATATTTAATAGTTTTGAACCCGCTTCTTTTAACTTTCTAAAAATATATATATTCAAAATAATATTCTCTTTTAATCAATAACTCCGCGCAGGGCGCGGGTTATCACCTAGTAAATAAATTCATAAGATGATCAAATTATGTAACTGCATTTAATTATATCACCAAACTTTTTGTCTCTGTTTAACCATAGTACATTATCAGCTTAATGATTTTGATTGATGTTTTATTTCAGTTGGATTTTTTTGTTGCTCTTAATCATAAAACTAGTTAGCTGGTTTCAGATACTTCAGTTTGTTCGGATTGGGTGTTATTGGTTTCAGTTAATTAGGTCTCACAACAATTACACCGAATTAAACTAAAAAAATTGGTTCGTTTTTCGGTTAATTTCAGTTTTCAAAATTTTATCTGGAAATAATCAAATGTTTGGGGTTTGGTTAGATTTCACTTTTATTTTTCTAATAAACTCAGATATTTTTGGTTAAATTCAATTATTTTGGTTATTTTTAGTTAATTCGGTTATTTTCGGTGAGTTCGGTTATTTTTGGTTAGAATTGTTATTTTTAAAAATTGAAGAAAACCGAACGAACCCAATATTCTGGTTCGGTTCAGCTGATTCGATTTCATTCAAATCTGCATGGCTACATAAACAATGTTTTTCGCAACTAACAGAGACAATGATGGAAGACTTGAACATTCTTACGACTAATTTTCCATTTCTTTTTGTCGATTCTTACGACCAATCGCCAAAAGAAATCATAATGTTCTGGACTCTTTTATCTTTAATTACCATCATGAATTGGTTAAAGTTTTCTATTTTAACTTGATTAGTTCATCTAGTTGTAGCACTGTTGGGATTGAATTCTATAATAGAGGGTTATTGATTGTGACATGGAAAAAAGAAGAAGAGAAAGATGTGAAGATGATCAAATGAATTATTTCCCTTATCCGTTTTCACATCTATTGTTTGATTGTGAGAGAAGAAGAAATTCTATGGAGCAAGGGAAAAAACTTATGGTTTTGGAATTGTCATGACTTGTGAGGAAGGAGGAAATGAAGTGATTTGATATATTTTGATTTAGATCACTTTAAATTTATTAAGTTTATGTTAATTTAATTTAATTGGATTTTATTAATGGTTTAATTGGTTTACTATTGATAATTATAGATTTTGAACTGAGTTTGACAAAACCAGCATTTATGGGAAAATAAATCTAAAACTTTACATTTGAATACATATAGAAGGAATAGTTATTTACATTATAAAACACTTTGTTGAGTTTTTTTACTCAAAAATACACTTCTTGCTTGAAGAGCACAATACCCTTTCCCAAGACATATATTGGACAATTATGTTCTTGAAAGTGTTCCATGGTAAAAAAGAGATATTCAGAAAGTAGCCGTAAATTCTAAATGTTTGAATTAATGTTTTTTTTAAAAAAAAAATATTATTTAATTATCTCTCTTAATGTTTTAATTTTATTTATTTTTAAATTACAAATATATATAATAAATTTGTTGACATAATAAATTATGTTTTTTATTCTCTATAAGTTGAAATCCACTTTGATATATTTTTATTTTACTTTTAAAAACTTATTTATAAAGATTATGGATTCGCGGACACGAAAGTTGTGAATAAAAACACTTTGGATAACCGTCCACAATTATATATCGATACACAAAACCAGATTTATGGATTAGGTGTTTTGTAGACAGATAATATGTGGATATATATATATATATATATATATATATATATATATATATTGTGGATATGAGCACTTTGGATATTCGCCGATACACAAAACCAGATTTTTGCATTAGGTGTTTTGTGGACAGATAATATGTGGTTATATATGTTGTGAATAGAAGAACTTTGGATAGCTTTCCACAATTATATATCCATACATAAAACCAGATATACAGATTAGGTGTTTTGTGGACAGATAATATGTGGATATATATGTTGTGGATAGGAGCACTTTGGATAAACGTCTACAATTATATATCCATACATAAAACCAGATTTATGAATTAGGTGTTTTGTGGACATAAAATGTGGATATATATGTTGTGGATAGATTAAAAGAATAATTTGGACTAATGCATTGTGAAAACATATATTACATATATGTTGTGAACACACATATTTATTATGTATTTTCATATGTAATTGCATAAAAACATGGTTTATAGTGTATAACTGAAAAGTTTAAAGTCAAATCGAAGAGAAATCTGCACATTTGAAATGTTTGGGGGGGCAGAAATGAAGGTTTACAAAAATTCAATTACAAATGCAATTTTTTATTTTAAATTACAAACTGCATCAAGCTTTCGTCCATGACGGCCCCAACCTCAAACCACCGCAGCTTCACAGACATGGCGGTTGTTCAGCTCATCTCTGACTTGGATGCTAAGCTTGATTGAGCCACAGTTTCAAGGGACATAGGGAGGAGTTGCGAATCTATTACTCCGGAGGAGAACCAAACAAACCTGAGTTGTTTGTAACCGACAGCAGGACCACAAAGGAAGGCGTCAAAAAACTACTCTCTTCAACAAAACCTCAAAGTCACATTGTTGATTGTCACAGATAGCAACCGACCACCATTCTCCATGTCCCCAGTCCGATGGTTGCTCCCGATAACACATAGTGCTTCGTCATCGTGTTCACCAACCAAGCTTCAAATCTGGAGAAATCACCATTTTCTATAGATACAAAATAAAAAATACAAATTTGTCTTTTAATATTTGAGAGGTATGTTATGAAGCTAATCTATAGGTTTTGTCAAAGTGGTGGTCACACGTGACACCTCTTAAAATCCACCATTTCAAATGATCTTTATTTGTATCTCTTTTAATTTACAATTATTAATTTTTAATATTCACTAGAGAGAAAGAATAACAAGAATGAGTTACTTCTGTATAAAGTATTTTAGTCTTTGAACAATGAAAAAATGTTTCAAGTTTAAAATATTTTATTGTGATATTAAAGTAAAAAAATATCTATAGATGTAATTATTCCTAAAATGAATTCATAGTTTGAGAGACACTGATGATATATGATAGTTTTTTTTTGAAAAAATATCTGGTCGACCCAATTTTTTTTTTTGATCAAATCTGGTCGACCGAAATTAATTACTAAAAATCAGACATAGGAATGAGGAATCAGACAATGTCCTCTTCCCTCGCCGAACTGTCCTCTTCTCCGATTTCAATAAAAAAACACGTCTTTGGTTTTGAAGATCAAAATCTCTCTGCTTATCGTCCTCAAACTTTTTACTTCAATTCTTTTATTGTTTTTCCTTATTGTATTATTGTTGATTCGAAGGGATTTGTTCAAAGCTGAAAACAGTTTTGTTCCACCAAACTCTTTTGGTATAAAATAATTTGATTACAAAAAAAACAAAAGAAACTAATAATGACAAACGAGCAACCTGTTGTTTCTTTTGGGTGAGAAAGAAACTACTTCTTTTTGCCGCCGAACATTCCCATCATGTCCTTGCTCGAACCCATCTGTTTCATGAGACTCTTTAGACCGTCCATGCCACCAATCTGATCGAGCATATGAGGAGGGAGGACTTTGCTCATGTGCTGAGCGTTCATGTTTCTCGAGAGTGCGCTCATGTCTCCACTCTTTGGGATCTTGAGCCCTTTCATTTTGCTCCATATCTTTGCTAGCCTCTTGTACTCTTCCAACATCTCCATCACTTCTCTTACAAGCCTCCCTGACCCTCTCGCTATCCTCATCATCCTTGACTCGTTAAAAACCTTCGGGTTCGAGCTGTCCAGTTCTGCACCAGTTGAAAACAAACAAACACCCATCAGTTATTACTTCTACTCGGAAACCTTATTCAAGTTATAAGATATTTTTACTGCGCTCACCTTCGTTTGTCATAGAATCCATCATCGTCATGTATCGCTTTACCTTCGCTTGGCTTTCTTTCTCATGTCCTTTCGGCATCATTTCAGCAGCACCTCCAGGCAGCATCGAGAAAACCTACACACACCCAACACCTCAGTTTGATGATATCACTCAAGCACCTTGCGCTCTTAAGCCTAATAATAGTATTTTGGCAAGAGATCCTCTGACCTCCTTCAGTGGACCCATGTTCAGTATGTTCTGGAACTGGTCGTACATAATTCTCAATGTGAAGGTACCCTGAGAGAGCTTTTCCAGAAGTTCGGGCTGTTGATCTTTAGGTACCACGTCTTGTAATTTATCCACGAATCCAGACCAATCACCCATTCCTGTTGTGCATAGAGAAGGATTCCGAGTAAACAAACAATCCGTTGAGAGACTTCGATTACTCTGATTAATGCCTACTAATATTCAATCAATGCCATGGAAAGTTACCTAAGAGACGGCTGACAAATGGTTTGACGTCAAACACTTCAAACTCATCCATATGCTCTCCTGTTCCGATGAATATCACAGGACTCTTTGTAGCTGCAACACTAACAAAATGAAAACGGATCACATTCAATTGTCCAACTGGAAAACCCAGTAAGATTTTCACACTAAACTCCAGTAGGTGAAAGATACTTACGCGCTAAGAGCACCACCACCCTTGGCATGACCGTCCATCTTAGTGATAATCACAGCTCCCACAGCAACACTTTGCTTAAATGCTTGAGCTTGGTCAAATGCAGCTTGACCAATACTGCTGTCCATGACAAATATAACCAGATCCGGTTTCTGCAAAATGAATAGACCATGATCAGAACCTGCAACATCAACAAAGGAACAAACATAAGACTTCACGATCACAGAACATACCGTTGCTTCAGCAACTTGACGCATTTCTTCAAAGAGAGTAGCTTCTTGTTTATGGCGTCCACTGGTGTCAACAATAATAAGATCACAGTTTTCTTTCTTAAACGTATCAACTCCCTCAACAGCAATTTTCACAGGATCGGATTCCGTGTAGCTGCAGAGAATCACAACCCAGCATTAGCACTTTCATTATCACAATATGCCCTATAGAATTTCCTGTATGTAATGGAAAAGGTGTTTTTACCTTCCATAAAAGGGGATTCTAGCCTTAGTGGCATTCTGTTTGAGCTGATCGAAAGCACCAGCCCTGAAAGTATCGGCACAGACTAGAGCTGGTTTGTAGCCTTTCTTCTGATGATAATAAGCGTACTTGGTACACGTTGTGGTCTTACCAGCACCTAAACATTAATAAACGAAATTAAGCATACAAAAATGTTCAATCTAAATCACAATCTTGCAAAGACCTCACCTTGTAACCCGACGAACATAACTACACTAGGTTTAGCCTTTTTGGGTGCAAATGCAGGCTTCCCAGGATCCAACATCTTACACAGTTCACTAAAGATGGCCTGAAAAGAAACAACAAATTCAATTCAATTCAATGAAGAATCAATCCAATTTCAAAGAAAAACAGAAACCTGTTCGATGATCCGTCGCTTGTTGTGACCAGCTGCTAGCTCGTCGAGGTTAACGATCTTCTTGATGTTGTTCTGCATCTCCCTCACAAGAGGGAAAGAAACATCGGAGTGGAGAAGAGCGCGAGTGATCTCTTTCAAACATTCATTCAGAGCCTTCTCGTCGATAATCGTCACATTGCTCATCTTCTGTAAGGCGCTGGCAATCTGCCCGCCCAGCTCCGCTAAAACCATCTTCGCTCGCTCTTGTGGGGATGATTCAACTACGATCACCCAAATCCAATACCCACACAGAAACGATTCGGATTTGGGGATTTAGGGTTAGGGTTTTGATTTAAGGTTGAAGAAGGGACGTTGCTGTTAGGATTATTATACATTAGATTGGGTCTGTAGAAACTTAACAGGTCCAATGGGCACGTTAAACACGGACTACTTTTTTTTTAGACTAGTACTTACATGTAGGCCTGGGCAAAAAAAAATAGAACCAAAAAACCGGATCGAAATTCTTAAATATCCAAATGGTTCCTATATTTCTATACCCCGAAAACCGAATTGGAATCAAACCGAGAATCGGACGGGTACCCGAATATCTGAAAAACAAGTTAATTTTTTTTTTTAAAAATAAGATAAAAGAACATCAAACCCAGGTTAATACAAAGAGTAAGTACATTTTTACCACCAGACCACGTTATGTTTTATTTATTTTGTTATATTATAAATACATATGATATTTCTATACTAAAATATGATAAATATTTATAAATTTAACACTTTATTGATTCGAACTCTTGTTGGATTGACTTATATGTAAGTGTGTAAACACTAAACCGTTTAAATTAATATATTAACTAATATATTCTGTATATATATATATATATATATATATATATATATATATATATATATATATATATATATATATATATTTGATTTATATATTAAATGGGTATCTGGAACCGAACCGAAATCGAAATGGAACCGAACCGAAATCTCATAAGTATCTATTAGGTATTAAAATAATTTATCCGATATACCTGGAACCGAATGGTTCTTATCCGGAACCGAACCGAATATCCAAATGCCCAGGCATACTTACATGTTTTGTTGTGAAATATTTAAAGAGAAAATGACTAGAATAGACCTAAATTTTTTTTTATCACAAATATAGACTTTAACAATTAAAATGACCAAAATAACACTTAAATGTTTTATTAAATATACATTTATACCCTTGAGTTAACTAATCTTAGATTTTTTTGTTTAAAGTTGAGGAGTGGGGTTTTGGGGATAGGGTTTCGAATTTAAAAAAATTAAGAAAACTTAAAATTTTCAAAATAAAAAATGCTATTTTGGTAATTTTAATTCTTGAGATCTATTTTTGTGATAAAAACTTAAAAGAGGGCTATTTTAGAGAATTGCCCATATTTAAAAGCAAGGGTGAATTTATTCTATATTCACAATAAATAAATAAAAATGAAGAATATAGATATGGAACACCGACAACCATCAGATGAGATAATTTATGCACAATTCTAACTTTAATCTCCCTATAAGGTATTGACGTGAATCTGACGTATTAAACAAAAGTAACAAACTATATATCAAAATAAATAGTATAGAAAACTGATTCATATCTTTTTTTGGCATCACCTCTTCATATGTAACAATACAATATTAAATATTTCTACATGCTAAGTGAGAGAGAAATAATATGGGAGAGTGAAAGTTAGAGAGAGAAGATGAAAGAAGAGGATACTACACTATTTCAATAAATAGAATAGTATATTATAAGATAACTTTTAATCAAATATTAAACGAATGATACACTATAAATACATACAGAGAAATTTACTTTTATAGACACTTTTAAAAAAATTCAATTACACTAAAGACACATGTATTTGCAACACACATTTTATGTGTCTAAATACTAAGGACATCTTCAATCGCTGGCTTCATTTTCTATTTCAAAAATACATTTTATTCAAGATGAAGTAAAAAATGAAGAATGTCTACTCCAATGGTTTGTTTCATTTTTTTTTTTGCAAAAAGAATATTTCAAGTATATTATATGTCCACTTTATCATTAATTATTAATAACACCTTCTACTTTTTCACTTTTATTAATTTTACTCAATTATTTTGTTTTAACAATAATTTAGCACAATTGTTATTTAATACACATTCAACATTATCATATAAGAAATTTATTACATAATATGAATAAACAAACACATAACATCATTTTGTAAGAAATCTTCTATATATTTTTTCTTTAAATGATTAATAAAACATTTAAAAGTAAAATGTGAGCTTATTTATCTTCTATTATTTTTAAACGAGTCGAAGTTCTTAAAAATAAATATTCTTATATTTTTCTATATAAATATCTAATTAAATGAAAAGTATGGGCAAAATTATGAAATTAATTAGATAATATTAACATATTTAATTTATTTTGATAAAAGATAAGAATAAGTTAAAATTAAGGACTAATTCATAATTTAGAAAGTTCAGGTTAAAAATGAAGCAATGAACAGTATTGCTTCAAATTTGAAGTAGTAATGTTCATTGCTTCATTTTGAAATAAGAAATGAAGCATCATTGGAATAAAAATTACTTCAAAATGAAGCAAAAAATGAAAAATTACTTCAAAATGAAGCAAAAAATGAAAAATTAAGCACAATTAAAGATGGTCTAACATCCCTAAACTAAATCAAACTTACTTTTTTCATTCCTCTTCTCTCCTAACTCATTACGATACCTAACAAGTTCATTTTCTCTCCTAACTCAATTATACTTTCTAAAATTCTCAAATCCTAATACTGGGAGTTCCCAACAAAATCATGCTGATGGATGTGATGAGACTAGAGCTTGTAATGAAATCAATTGTGAATGAGTTCGGGATCTACGACATCTGCCATAGGTGAGCTCGAAGAAGGTGCGGTGGAGAAACAAAATCTCACTTGCTCTCTCCACATTGTTGAAACAAACCAACCAAATACCACTGTAACCCTAGATTCTCATACGGTTTCAACTTTCACCTCCTCCATCTTGTTTATGTATTACATAACTTTCGCTTTTTTTTTTGTAATATATAACTCTCTATTTTAGAATTCCCTTTTTGTTAGTCTTCTTTGACTTTTTTCCTGGCTTTATAAAGCTTATTGTAAACTAATCTTGGCAAAAATGGTCACCCAAAAACTAAATATCATAACAACTACAACCTCACATCGCCTGTGTCCACATCTACAACTAAACCCTCACCTTGACCACAACCTCATTGGCCATCATTACAACTAAAACCTTACCTTGTCCACATCCATAATTTCAGCAGTTACCTTGTCAACATAGTAGATTCATATCCACAAACAAATCCACAAAAAGCCCACTAATATATGCTCTCAAAACACCAGTTTCTGCCCTTGTTCCGGAACTCGCTAGGCGCTACGCGTGCGCTCGGGTAGGGCCTAGCGCCTAATGAGAAAATCGGAAATTAATCGTGGATTAATCGACGATTAATTTTAGGTGTGTTTTTAATTTTTAAAGAGATATATGTATCTAAGAATTGGTTTGTGTATAAATAGTAAAATTCTAATGTGGTTTAGTGGTAAGCGTCTGTTATTATTCTGTCGAGGTAGGCGGTTCGAACTGTCCTTGCTGCATTTTGACGTTTTTCTATAAAAATTAGGGCTAATGAATGTAAATTACTGAAGTGCCCTCATCTTCAATGTTAGACCTGCAACTCCATAGCCGCCTTTCTCAACTTTTTTGTGCTATTTCTTTATTTTTTCTACTTAATCTTGTTTGTTTTGACATAAGTATATCATATTCTTATTACAAATCGTGATTTTGAACTTGAAATAGCCCAAAAGATGAACTTTTTATCCCACCGATTGACCAACCGAATCAGGCTAAATCGCCACGGTGAGAGGCCGAGTTACATTTTCTCGGCGAGTAATCGGACGCGGAGAGCGCGTTTTTGAACAAGGGTTTCTGCAAACAAGCTTCACCATTGAAACCTACGACGAAAAGCTACATTAATGCATGTCATAATTGTGCATTAAACCCTTACGGCTTAACATCCCTCAGCCGTTGGTTCTCTTTTTAAAATTGTAATCTTGTGGCCGAAGTTAAATCCCACAGTCCCATTAACCAACTTTCTTTAATACCCTAACCAAACTAAACAAAAAATATTTTAATAAACCAAAAAATATTAGTTACCCACTAACCATATCCAATGAACATTCAGCTGCTGAAGGGCAAATTGGTCAAACATGCATCGGCTTCTGGGAATTGTGTCCCTCAGACAGGAATGTGTCATAGACACAGCAAGAAAAAAAAGTCAAAAGTTTCTCGTTTAGCTCACTCTTACATACATGATTGTAAACCTTCATTAACTTAGAGCCTACATTCAACACCATAGCAAAACAATAACTCTTAGGTAATAATCCGCGACGACCTGGGCAAAATGAGTGACCTAAAAAGATTATTAATTTTAATCTGTAGATATTATGAATTTTAAAGTTATAGGCACAAATATTAGATTTAGTGAAATATATTATCTTGAAAAGTTGCATATCGGAAACAGAGTTAAAGCCAGCCATGAGTTTGCTCGAGAGAATGTTTTGGTATAGAAATTCGAAAAGAAGGTGTCATGTGGCTCGAGAGAATGTTTTGGTATAGAAATTCGAAAAGAAGGTGTGATGTTCCGACGCATTGTAGACAACATATTAAGAACCAAACTGCAAGGTAAGTTAGTGACATAATATTAAATCGCCACAATTAAAGATAATATTACTTAATTATTTAATTTCACATAACTTGCACTCCAAACTAATATTACTTATTTAATTTCAACCAACGCGTGTTGGCCTAGTGGTAATGGAACTCCGGCTGGAGTGTCCTTCCTGGGTTCGATCCGCGTTGGCCACTTGGGAATTTACATGCGGACTTGCATTGGCGTCCGAGACCGAAGATCGCTGCCCGGCCATGACCCACTTTCGGGTGTGCGTCCGCGCCGCTAAAAGGTTCGGTCTCTAGTCTGGACCACTAAGGTGGGGCCAGGACACTTGGTTATCAAAAAAACTAATATAGAAAACTTACCTGAAATTTGAAAACATGATTAATCTTTCCTTGCCGTTCAAAAAGAAAAAGATCAATCTTTCCTTTTATATGACAAAATTGAATAAAATCAATAAAAGTTAGATTATTATTCGATTCCTAAAAATTGA